CAGGGAAGGGTCTCCCCACTAGGATGGCGGGGTCGCGGGGGAAAAAAAATATGCCCGCGGGGTCACCATAACCAAGGCGGTTGTCCCGCAGAGAGTAGCCGCCACCGCGCAATTGCGCGAGCATCGTCAGTGAGGTATATCCTTACCTGTTCCTCCTCCGGGAGAACAGAAAATGATGAATGGAGAGGCATGAGAGATGATTAGAGTCTCCGTCGGCCGGGGAACAGCAACGCCCCGGTTTGCTCCTTTCTGATTTTCCTGACGGTCCATCAGTTTCCGTGTCTACAAAGAGCAGAGCGGTCGTGCGAATGAGCTAGTCTCGTGTTTGCTTTGGACTGCGAGGGGGAAGTGTTTTCGCTCTACGCGGCGTGTTTCCTTAGCCAAAATGATTGCTTTAAACTCGGTTTAGCTGGGTAACTACGATTCCCATCATCCGCGGCCAATCAATATCTCCAGCGATGGCTGATTTCGGTATGATCCTTCCGCCCCTTCCCCCAGTAAGACTTGTGCGCAATCTCCTTTCTGATTGGCTAATACGCCTTTCTATTTACAGCCCTTTGTAGAGCTGCGCGTCACTCATTGGCTGTCTTGCCTGCTCCTTACGTATGCCCCGCCTCTTCTTCCCTCGGTCTTTTTAAACGGTGCTTTGGCTACAAAATGGCCGACTTATCTCCTCAGGTAGTTTTTCTTCTGCCGTTCTGATTGGCTGGTGTGTGAAAATGGGCACCGCGTCTTAGAAAACGGGGCGGGACTCTTCAAAAAAAAAAAAAATTTGGGCCAATCCGTAACTTCTGCTACGGGTCCAAATCCCACCTTCTCTGACGACACAGCGATGGAGGCAAAAGCCCCTCCCCTCCGTCGGGGAGGATTGTCCAATGGGAGAGGCGGAGCTCAGCCGGCTCACAAAGAACCGGCCAATAAAAAAGAGCGGAGCTCATCGCGCTGGAAAGAGGGGCGGTGCTGTCCTTCGCCAATGAGGCGGCGCGTCGAGCGACGTCTTGCTGCGGCAGCCAATAGGATCCCGGAAGGGAGATTTGAAAAAGAGAAGAGCTTCGGGTCTCCGGCGGCGGTTCTCGGGGCCCGGGAAGCGGTAAGTGATGCGGGGATTACAAGGCGGGCGGGCGGCGAAGAAACTCCGCGAACCGGCCTCGCTGTCCTGTCTTTTCCCAACCTGGCGCAGGCGCAGATCAGCCTGGCCGTGGAGTATGGGGGTTGTAGTCCAACGCCTACCGGGAGCGTCCGGTATGGAGGGTGATTCCACGCTGGGAGCAGCGGCTCACTTCCTCTTGCCAGCAGCCCTCCCTTCAAATGCACTGGACTACCAATCCCATCATCCCCCATCGGCTATGCGGGGAGGGGGTCTGGCTGGCCAGGGAAGGTGGGAGGGGGGTCTCTAGAAACGGATAATTCCTCCCTAGAAGAGGGGAGTCCAAACCGTGGGAACTTTTTAAGACTTGTGGACTTCAACTCCCAGAATTCCCCAGCCAGCATGGCTGGCTGGGGAATTCTGGGAGTTGAAGTCCACAAGTCTTAAAAAGTTCCCACGGTTTGGACTCCCCTGGGATAAATTAAATGATTTCTAAAGAAGGAAATGGGAAGGTTGCCAAGCGGCTCCTTCTGTGCGCGGTTGTGCACACAAACTCCAATTTGTGTTGTGTGTGCGTGTGTGTCCTTTGAGCCAGTGCTTTGCATGCCTTGCACCTTGCTCTGTATCCAATTTGCAGGGAGTCCTCAATTTACAGTCACAATTGGGGGGGGGGGGCAGAATTCCCGTTGCTAGGCAAGGAAGGCGGATGTCAGGGCAGTTGCTTGATGACCTCTTTGTGACTTAACTGCTGCCGTCCTTAAGCGAATTGCACGGTCGTTAAGTGAGTACGGCTTCCCCTGTTGTCGGAACTCAGCTGGGAAAGTCGCGAATGGCGATAAATACATGCCATAAGGGTCATAAACACATGCCAAGCCCCTGAAATTTGATCCCGTGATTATAGGGATGCTGGGATGGTTGTTAAACGAGGCAGTCCTCGGCTTACGACATTTCGTTAATGACTGCTCGAAGTTGGCACTGAAAAAAGGGACTTGTGGCTGTTTTTCACACTTACGACCGTGGCAGCATCCCCGAGATCTCGTGATCAAAATTCAAACACTTGGCAACTGACTCATACTTATGACGGTTGCACGGTCCCTGGGTCGCCTTTTGCGACCTTCTGACAAGCAAAACCGTGGGGGAATCTGGATTCGCTTAACAGCCGTTGTGAATGACAACAGCGATTCACTTAAAGACTGGGAAAAGAATGGTTGTAAAATAGCAATATCGATTTACTTGGCAATATAAATTTGGGCGCTCAATTGTGGCGGACTATGAAATTGTGGGTGATCCATCACTGGAGGGGTTTTTTTTGTACTTTATTCAAATACAAATAATACAAACATAATACATATAAGTCTAAATAAAAAACAGTATAAAAATACAAATACTACGGTGCACACCCCCCCCCCCCGAGACCATTTTTATTACCTATATTCTCATATAACAACTAACAATATACAATATATTTCAGTTGTGCCCTTATCCCCTCCAAGACAGCATCTATTAAGCAGGTTTAATCACTGGAGGTTTTTAAGAAGAGAATAGACAGTCACTTGTCTGAAATAGTATGGTTGTCCTGTTTGAGTGGGGGGGGGCTGGACTAGAAGACTTCCAAGGTCCCTTCTGTTCTGTTCTATTCTGAATTCTATTCTGTATTTTATTATTCTATTCTGTATTTTACTATTCTATTCTGTATTCTATTCTGTATTTTATTCTATTCTATTCTGTATTTTACTATTCTATTTCATTCTATTCTATTCTGAATTCTATTCTGTATTCTATTCTATTCTGAATTCTATTCTGTATTTTATTATTCTATTCTATTCTGTATTTTACTATTCTATTTCATTCTATTCTATTCTGAATTCTGTTCTGTATTTTATTCTATTCTATTCTGTATTTTAATCTATTCTAATTTTGAATTCTATTCTATTCTGTATTTTACTATTCTATTCTATTTCATTCTATTCTAATTCTGAATTCTATAAAATTCTAATTATTTCTATTCTATTCTGTTTGTACAAGGTCTCAATCTTGATCGGCTGTTTTCTCATTGGGAAAGTTTTAAAGATCATAAAGATCAACGCCCTCTCTGTCTTTTTCCTATTGATTCGTACATTTATTTTCGAAGAATTTACCTGGTTATTTTTTTGTTGTTGTTTTGTAATTCAGTCTTTAGTGTTGGAAGCCGATCTCTCTTACCCAGTAGAAGATTTATCCTCACCTTCTGGATCCCGGAGCTGGCTTTATTTCTGCCTTGGATATTCCTCCCG